CATATTTTTGCATTGTATATTTTGTAGCGACCTTAGGTAAAAACAAAGATGTGTGGAGAAGGAACCAAAAATCCTTAGGAAAACTGTAATATGACTATTTAAAGGTAACTAATGTTAATATTTTATGTATTTATGGCATTATATATATGTATGTGTATATATAATCTCAAGTTTTTCTCATAAGTTATTATCTCATGAGCATTTCACGTATTACATATTTCTTCATTATGAATGAATCCTAATGACTTAACTGTTTACTTATTGAATATATTTTTTAAAATTTATTTTTAATTTATATTTATTGAATATTTAGCTTGTTTTTATCTTTTCTTGTAGATAGTAGACATATTTATATCTTTAACCTCTTATCCCATGACTTCCTTGGAATGAATTCCATGGAGAGGAATTGGAGAACTTGATTATCTTGATCCTTAATGTCCTTGTCATTGGCAAATGATTAGCAATCTAAACCACCAGCTCTTTAGAAGTGCCTCTTCCAATGTTCCCCTGGTGATGTAGGATATTTTCATTAAAAGACATTTTGATCATGTGCTAGGTGAAAGATGTCACCATATTCTCCCTTTACATTTTATTTCTTTGGCTACTAAGAAGTTGAGCATTGAGTCTTGTATGTTTTCCGTATTTGCATTTATTTTGTGTATTCACTCCTGATGTCCTCTGCTTATTTCTTTTTTTCCTTTCTCTCTCTCTCTCTCTCTCTCTCTCTCTTTTGATGTTGGACCTCAGATGTAGAGTTGTGGAAGTGATATTCCTGTTTTCATGGACATTGCTCCTTTTCATATTGATTCTTGATTCCCAGCTTACTGTCTCTCCCCACACCCAACATAGGCAAACTTTCCAGGGTATTCATTCATGTGTGTTGTAAAATATATACATTATAGGCATGTATTTTAGATTGATATATATCAAATGGTATTGCGTATTACCTTTACTTGTTTCTTAGTTTCACTTAGCACAATTTTATTTTTTATTTTTATTTTTTTAAAAATTTTATTTATTTATTCATGAGAGACAGAGAGAGAGAGAGAGAGAGAGAGAGAGGCAGAGACATAGGCAGAGGGAGAAGCAGGCTCCATGCAGGGAACCCGATGTGGGACTCAATCCCAGGTTTCCAGGACCATGCCCTGATCCGAGGGCAGGTGCTAAATTGCTGAGCCACCCAAGGATCCCCCTCACTTAGCACAATTTTAAAGATCACCTTTGCTGCTCTATGTTTATGCTTTGTGTTTACTTCTAACTGCTGCGAAGTGATACATGATGGGCGAATATGAGTACATTCAACAGGAATGGAATTGCTAGGACATACCTAACGTGACTAATCACCCATTGCTGTTGAGGTGGCTATTCAAGTTTAAATTCCCACCAGTAGTTCATGAAAATTCTTAAATCCGTACATTCTTTCCATACTTACTGGCTATTCTAACAGGTAAGAGTACTATGTCATTATTTTACTATATGTTTCTCTGATTGCTAATGAATTCTGAGCATTTGGCTTGTGTTTTCTCTTGTGTATATTGCCTAATCTTATGCATTTTTAAAAAAATGTTTTTTGGTTTATTTGTTTTTTTAAGAGATTTCCAAATATCTTGTATGTTTTGCTCTCCTTGACATCATTTTTGTTAGCAGTGTTCCCTGCAGTTAATTTTAATTTTGTTCATATTATTTTATACATTTGTTTTAAATTTAGTGAGTAGTCAGATCTACTAATGGTGTTAGGTGATTTCATCCAATGCATTTATGATATTTGGCAAAATGCATTGTGTTTTGTTCTGCGCTAGCAGCCTTTTTATTGCTTTCCCCAAATATGTTCTTCCTAATATGTCAGCCAGTTTCAAAAAGTATATTGTCACTTTTGATCCACTAGGGGCCAACACTTGCTTGAAAGAAACTGATGTCCTTTCCTAAAACTAATCCTTTCTCTCTGAAAGAGAGGAAAGTAGCTGAAATAAGCCTTTTGTAAAATTAAGTGATCTCCATTTAAATTAAGTGATTAGAAATTATATAAAAGAATCTAAATAAAATGAAAAGGCTACCAATTAGATAAAAAGAATTTCAAGTTTGTTTTTTTTTTGTGAAAAAAATAAAAGCAGAAAATACAAATACAGCTGTTAAACTTTTTAACAAATTAACTTAGGAGAACATTTTTGTTTTAAAATATAAAATAAAAATGGTCCAGCTTCTATACAAAATCCACATCAAACATTAGTAAATAAACAGTAATGACTTTTTCTACTTTTCTCCCCCTCTTTGCTCTGAAAGGCCAGGAGGTGGGGCTCTCCCACCCTCCATATTCTTTAGGCTCCTATACCAAGTGGAAATAACCGAATGGAAAACTGTTCTCAAGCAAGAAAAAAAAATCAGTTGTTTTAATTCAAATGAGGCAATCTGGACAAAAGATCCAGGCTGACCCTAAAGCAATCATTGAGAAGCCCTTCCTCTTGGAGTCCCATTAAGGCTCTTAAAATCATATTTATGACATAGAAGTAGACAAATCCACAAGGGAGGAAGCAGAAAAAGAGAGAAGGACCAACTACCAAGGCTGCAATTGTCTTATCTATGAAAATACAAAAGGACAACTGAAAACAGTTCTTTACATATAGATAGCTGCATCTATTTAGTCCTTGAAAAAAAGATGAAGATCAAATGGTGGCCTATATGCAAAATAATGAGGAAAGTAAGGCCCTATTATTACTACAAAGATGCATACACCAGCTTGGGACTTGGCTTCTGGGGTGCCTCTTCCTAGGTGGGGTAGCTATGTCATACCAAATATGACAGCACATGTTCCAAGAAGAGATTTGTATGTGAATTCTCTCTCTCTCTCTCTCTCTTTTTTTTTTTTTTTTTTTTTTTTGAGTGAGAGAGAACTCGCACATGAGCAGGGGTTGGTCAAAGGGAAAGAGAGAGAATCTCAAGCAGGCTCCGCGCTAAGCACAGAGCCTGACTCAGTTTGATCTCACAACCCTGAGATCATGATCTAACTGGAAATCAAGAGTCAGTCACTTAACCCACAGAGCCACCCAGGAGCTCTGTGCATGAATTCAAGCAAATGCATGAAAGATTTATGTTTGTATGTAAGCCAAGATAAAGTTTTAAAAATCAACTAAAACACATCTTAAACATGACAATTTACATTATAAAGAACTTTCAAATTAACATCTTTTCTGCTTACTTTCAATTTAGTACCTATAAAAACTGAGAATGTACAACAATAAGAACACATTTAAAAGTCCCCAAAAGGGATGCCTGGGTGGCTGAGCGGTTGAGCACCTGCCTTCAGCTCAGAACGTGACCCTGGAGTCCCAGGATGGAGTACTGCATCGGGCTCCCTGCGTGGAGCCTGCTTCTCCCTCTGCCTATGTCTGTGCCTCTCTCTCTCTCTCTGTGTGTGTCTCTCATGAATAAATAAATAAAATCTTTAAAAATAAATAAAGTACCAAGAAATACCACAAATTATTTCATAAAGTTTATTTTTTAACTCTTAATGGACAAGGTTCATTTTTTATGTATGAGTAATATGCAGAAGGTGGAAAATGCAAATACTAGGAGTTTTCTCTAAAAAGCATGCTATCCTCCTATCTCCATTCCCAACCTCTGGTCTTCCAGTTTTGCTCTCCAGAGGTGGTGAAAAGTATGATTTTGTTGCCAGTTTCTTGCCATCTGATTCATACAAATATATATATGTAATGTGGATTGGTCCACACCTTTATTTATTTACTTATTTTTAAAAATATTTATTTAATTATTTGAGAGAGAGAAAGAGAGCACTTGCATACATGAGCAGGGGAAGGGGGCAGAGGCAGAGGGAGAAGCAGACTCCCCACTGAGTAGGGAGCCCAACGCAGGGGTGGATCCCAGGACCCTGAGATCATGACCTGAGCTAAAATCAAGAGTCAGATGCTTAACTGACTAAGCCACGCAGGTGCCTCCATAACTTGCTTTAAAACACCAGTCCACCACCACCAGAAACAATGATAACCACTTAAAATGATAGCTGATTTGAACAACGTGGATCAGAAATGCATGTGTACACTTATCCATGAACTGTTTAAAGTAAATACAGCACAGTACTGTAAATGTGTTTTCTCTTCCTTATAATTTTCTTAATGGCATTTTCTTTGTTTTAGCTTACTTTGTTTTAAGAATACAGTACATAATACATATACGATACAAAATTTGTGTTAATTGGCTGTTTTTGATATTGGCAAGGCTTCTGGTCAACAGCAGGGTATTAGGAGTTGTTTTGGGGAAGTAAACAGTTATACATAGATTTTGAACTATGTGAAGAGTGGGAACCCCTAACCTCCGTGTTGTTCAAGCGTCAACTGTAGTTTGGTTTCATTTCAGGTCAGGTCAGAATGAAGTATGTCTTACTCTTTTTAACAGTTACAAAGTATTCCATTGGTTGAACATGTGAGAGTTGATTTCTCCTCTCCAAGTGAAAGACATAGAGGTTAATTTCAATCACTGGCTATGAACACAATATTAAGTGATTTTCTGTGTACATACATTTCTTTTGTGGGAATGTAATTTAGGAATAGACACTTGGAAGAGTAATTGATGGATCAAAATTTATGGTCATATCATGTAAAGATACTGCTGACATTGCCCTTCAGAGAAATGTGACACCACACTCTCACCAAGACTACTTTTTATCAATTTTTTTGTTCTTTTCCAATATGTTGGGTGAAAAAAAAGAATCTTATTGTGATTTTAAGTTGCACTTCTCCTAATATGGGAAACCTTCAACATCTTCCTATTTTAAAACTATTTGTATTTTGCCCTATTTCTCCATTTTCCTACATGATGGTAAGACATTTTTTTAAAAGTGATTTGTAGATCCTTGTGTACTGTGAAAATATTTTCCCTGAGTTTATTCACAGAAATTAAAAATTTTTATGCATAAAAACTATTGGTTTTTTTACATGGTGTTTGGGTGTTACATTGGGCTTTATTTTATTTTATTTTTTATTCCTTTTAGGGGGTACACTGTTCCTGGAGGTATTGCAATACCAAGTTGATACAAGAAGTGGATGGAGCAAGCTCCTATTCCATCTCTTTGATCCAAAAGTCCACTCAATATACTATCCTCAGATAGAGATGTGTCAGATATTACACTGAGAAGATGGTAGCTACATTTCTCTTGATCTTACCCAAATGGTGGAGAAGCCATGTCATGCCAGGCTTTAAAAAAGACCCTAAGTCAGAGGCTGCTTTTTAAAATTCTTCCATATTTTCTTCCAGTATTTTCATTATCTCATTTTTTTCTTTTGTATACTTCATCCAGCTAAAACTTGTGTTGATGTAAGAAACAAGGTTGATAGAATATTTTTTTCACTAGATGGCTCCCCAAAAGTCTCTGACTGACTTGACAATTCATCTTTACCATTGATCTGAAGTGTTCAAAAAGTCTCAAAACTGCCTTCATAAGTATTTGTATGTTTCTTGACTCTTCTGTTGATTTATCCTTATATCTCTTTGTGTGCATGTGGCAGACTATTTTGATTATATTGCATTGTAGTACATTCCAAAAATCAAGATAACAGTGCCCATGGCCACCACTTCTGTTCAACTTAGTCCTGGAAGTCCAAGCCAGAGAAATTGGGTAAGAAAAAGAAAAAAGCATCCAAATAGGAAACAAGTAAAATTGTCTCTATTTTCAGAAGACGTGATCTTACATATAGAAAATATTAGACTCCAGACACACACAAAACTTTTAGAACTAATAAGCAAATTCAACAAAGTTACAGAACACAAAATCAACATAATAAAGGCAGTTGCATTTATACACACTAACAGTAAACTATCGAAAAAGAAAATCAAGAATACAATCTCATTTACAATAGCAAAAAAGAGAATAAAAGATTTAGGAATAAACAAGGAGGTGAAAGACACATGCATTAGAAGTATAAAACACTGGTGAAAAAAACCAAAGGAATAAACAAAAAGCAGAACCAAACCTAGAAATTCAGCTGATGGTTGCCAGACGAGGGGGACGGTGGTGGGTTGGGCGAATGTGTGAAGGTGAGTGGGAGATACAGGTTTCCAGATATGGAAGGAATAAGTCATGGGAATAAAAGGTACAGCATAAGTGCCTTTTAGTCAATGATATTGTAAAAGCGATGTATTGAGACAGATGGTAGCTACACTTGTGGTAAACACAGCATAATGTATAAGCTTGTTGAATCCCTAAGTCTTACACCTGAAACTAACGTAACATAGTGTGTCAACTATGCTAAAAAAAAAAAAAAAAGAAGAAGAAGAAGAAAACACCATGAAAGAAATTAAAGCAGACAAATAAATAGAAAGAATTCCCATGTTCATGTATTGGAAGAATTAATAGTGTTAAATAACAGGTACAAATTACTCCAAGAAATCTACAGATTCAATGCAATCTATCAAAAATACCCCAATAGTACTTTTCACAAATGTAGATTAAAAGCAAAAACAACCCTAAAGTTCATATGGAACCACAAGGCACTGAATAACCAAAATTATGTTGCAAAAAAAAGAAAGCTTGAAGCTTTACACTTCTGATTTGAAAAATATAGCACAAGTCTATAGTAATGAAAACAGTGTGGTACTGACATAAAGACAGACATATAGATCAATGGAACTAAATAGCAAGTTTAGAAATAAATCCACGTATATAGTCAATTGATCTTCTACAAGAGTGTCAGAACACACAACAGTGAAAAGATAGTCTCTCAACAAATGGTGTTGGTAAGAATGGATTTCTATAAGCAAAAGAATCAAATTGGACCATACACAAAATCAACTCAAAATGGATTAAAGACTTAAATATAAAATCTGAAACTGGGATCCCTGGGTGGCTCAGTGGTTTAGCCCCTGCCTTCAGCCCAGGGCATGATCCTGGGGTCCCGGGATCGAGTCCCACATCAGGCTCCCTGCATGGAGCCTGCTTCTCCCTCTGCCTATGTCTCTGCTCTCTCTCTCTCTCTCTCTCTCTCTCTCTCTCTCTCTCTCTCTCCCTCTCTCTCTCTCTCTCTCTCTCTCTCTCTCTCTCTCTCTCTCTCTCTCAATGTGTGTCTCTCATGAATAAATAAATGAAATCTTTAAAAAAAACCCTGAAAATGTAGAACTCCTCAAAGAAAATGTGAGAGGACTTCTTGACAATAATTTCTTGGATGACACCAAAAGCACAAGCAACAAAACCAAAATAAACAAGTGGGACTGCAAACTAAAAAGCTTCTTCACAACAAAGGAAACAATCAACAGATGAGAAAGATCCTACAGGATGAGAGAAAATATGTGTGAACCATCTACCTGATAAAGGGTTAATAACCAAAATATATAAGAATCTCCTATAACTCAATAGCAAAAAACAAATAATCTGATTTTTTTTGTGGGAAAGGAGCCAATTTATGAAATTAAATAAAGTCCATGGAGGGAGTGAAGAACACAGGCCGGACACCTCTACCCCGGCTAGGCCCAGCACAGCTGGAGCTCAGCACATCCCCTGTTTTTTCTCTCCTCCCGGGAGGGGGCTTAAATAAGCCAGGCCTCAGCCTGGCCAAGGTCCTGGAGCCTATGGAGGGCAGAAGTCAGAGAAGTAGGGGTGCTGCAGGGCCTCTTCTGCCAAGATGCACTGGACGGGGTTACACTTCAGGAGGTTCTGCAGCAGGTCCCATCCCGTGGCATTGAGCTTGGGTACAACATTCACAGGGATGTGAATACGGGCAAAGGACTCAAAGAAGCATTTCTCTGTAAGGACATACAAATGGCCAGCAGGTATATGAAACGGTGCTCAAGATCACTAATTTTCAGAGAAATGAGGTTCAAAACCACCATGAGACCATATCACCTCACATGTTAGGATGGCTACTATATTAAAAAAAAAAAGACAAATGTTGGCAAGGTTGTGGAAAAACTGGAACCTTATACACTGCTATGAAGAATAGTGTAGCCACTACTGAAAACAGTATGGAGTTTCCTCAGAAAATTAAAAATAGAATTTCCATATGATCCAGCAATCCCACTTCTGGGTATATATTCAAAAGACTTGAAATCGAGATCTTTTTTTTTTTAATTTTTATTTTATTTATGATAGTCAACACAGAGAGAGAGAGAGGCAGAGACACAGGCAGAGGGAGAAGCAGGCTCCATGCACCGGGAGCCCGACGTGGGATTCGATCCTGGGTCTCCAGGATCGCGCCCTGGGCCAAAGGCAGGCGCCAAACCGGTACGCCACCCAGGGATCCCTTGAAATTGAGATCTTGAAGAGATATCTGTACCTTTCTATTACAGCACTGTTCACAACAGCCAAGATATGGAAACAACCCAAATTTCCATCAACAGATGAGTAGATAAAGAAGATGTGTGTGTGTGTGTGTGTGTGTATTCATATGAATATATAATGGAATATTATCTAGCCTTGAGCACTGGGTGTTATTCTATATGTTGGCAAATTGAACAGCAATAAAAAATAAATTTATAAAAAAAAGTTGCTATTTGTGACAACATGGATGAACATAGTGGGCATTATACTAAGTGAAGTAAGCCAGTCACAGAAAGACAAATAGTGCATTATTATTATATATGAGGTACTTAGATTAGTTAAATTCATAAAGACAAAGTAAAATTGTGGAAAACAAAGCAATTGTGGGTACCAGGGTTTAAGAGAGAGAGGATTGGGAGGAGGCAGAGAGGGAAATTGAGAGTTTTTCAATGGGTAGGAAGTTTCTGTTACACAAGCTGGGTAAGTTCTAGAGGTATGCTGTGCAGCATGATACCTACGGTTAACAGTATGGTATTGTGCACCTAAATACATTAAGAAGGTAGATCTCATGTTTAAGTATTCTTAGCAATATCCTACCTTCCCCCCACAAACCCCCAATAACTCACAAAAAAAAAAAAAGAAACAGATTTTTGGAGAGGATGAATATGTTTAGTATTTGGTTGGATGATATCACAGGTATGTGCATATACCCAAATACATCAAGATGCTTATATTAAATGTGTGCAATTTTAATATGTCAATTATACCTCAATTAAGCTGAAAAAAAAATCTGGAAGAGCTAGTTCTTTCTTTTTTAGATTTTTTCCTGAAACATATAAAAATATGTTTTCCCTATGAACACTAGAAGTTTACTTTTAAAAAGTTTGTTATCTTTATTCATCATTTCAAGTTTATATAATAGTTTGGGGAGGATTTTCATCATTATAATGCTTAAGTTTCTGAGCCAATAACAAATACTATTCTATTTAACTATTTTATATCCCTCAGTTTAATTAATTAATTAATTAATTAATTATTTTATTTATTTATTCATTAGAGACAGAGAGATAGAGAAGCAGAGATACAGGCAGAGGCAGAAGCAGGCTCCATGCAGGGAGCCCAACGTGGGACTCTATCCCGGTTCTCCAGGATCACGCCCTGGGCTAAACCGTCGAGTCACCGGGGCTGCCCCAGTTTAAATTAAAAAAAATTTTTTTTTTAAGATTTATTTATTTATGATAGACATAGAGATAGAGAGAGAGAGAGAGAGAGAGAGAGAGAGACAGGAGGAGGGAGAAGCAGGCTCCATGCTGGGAGCCTCACGTGGGACCCGATTCTGGGACTCCGGGATCGCGCCCTGGGCCAAAGGCAGGCGCCAAACCACTGCGCCATCCAGGGATCCCCCCCCCAGTTTAAATTTTTTAATTGACATTTCTAAACTAGGATTAAAATTGTTTAATATAGATCTTGCATTTTTTAAAGTTAATATCTTATTTTTTAATAATAAATTTATTTTTTACTCGAGATCTTGCATGTTTATTGTTAAATGTCTTTCTAAGAAGTTAGTATTTTGATTGTTGTATAAATATTTTCTTCTGGTACATCTATTAGTTAATTGTTGTTTGTGTACTGGACACCTACTGATTTTTTTTGTATTAATTTTGTATCTAGACAATTTACTGAATTTTCTTCTTGTTTACAATGGCTCCTAAGTTAATCCTCTCAGGTTTTCCAGGTATTTATACACAATATATGAGAACAAGACATTTAAATTTTTTCTGTCTTCATTTTTAGAAAGCAAAGTAAGAATCTACTAAAAAATAAAGCTATATAACTTTTTGATGTACATGGAACCATTATTGATAGAATAAACATCTGGGATACAGAGTAAAAGTTGTATATTTTAAAATAATTGGGGGGGGGTTGTAGAGAGA